TGGCAGAAACAAGACTTCACTTTGAACTACATTCCTCCTATCAAAGAGCCCTCTGTCTTGCCTCCTTCTTCTCCGTTCCTCTGGGTAATCATGAAGAAAGAACCGAACATTTGGAAAAACCTCCTGGGGACAAATTCATTTCTAGTGTAACTCTGCTGAAGTTAATGGTGTTGCACCATGGATTAAAGTGGCACCATAATATTAAAAAACAGAGACAGCATATTACTCTGTAATTACTGTCTAAGAGAGCAAAAATAATAAAAATGATTCATTCTTATAGACCCCAAAGGGCATAGCTGGCTTAGTCAGTTTAAAAGGTGAAAATAAAAGAAGGCATCTAGAATGTAGTGATTTTTAATTTGTATATATGTATATACATATGTATAAGTGACAGATAACACCACCTCTGCACCAATTTTAAGAACAATACACTAGAAATATAATTTAATGTGACTGTGAGTTTTAAAAGACTGACAACAGAAATAGCTCTTAGGAAAGCTAAAGGCCTTCTTTCATACTGGCATAAATTAGGAATAAATTCCTTCTACTAAAGTGTTACACTGTTGTAAACTTAATGCAAAGGAATTGGGCCCCACAGCACCAAAACTGTTATTCTGTAACACAAGCACCAGGAATTGCATTTCCCCCTTTTTAAAAAAGGACAATGTTATTTTCTTTTAGGCAGTTAACATTTAAAGGTCATTGTTAAGGGAAGGAAACATTTATTGTATTAAGTTTAGTGAAGTTGGTAGAAACGCGCAGTCTGTTCCTTTATGGACTTCACTTTACCATATGGAGGTGTGTGAAAGACACTCTGAAGCTCGGCAATATTATACAATATAGCGACAAAGGCAAGGCAGAGATCTGACAGAATAGCTGCATGGACTTCAGAGGCATTTGTCAATAACAGCTGTTACATCTCTGTCTTTCTTGTTATTGAAGTGAGCTTCATCTAGGCAATAATCCTATGAGATTAGGCAATAATCAGATGAGAACTGATCTTCTGAGCACAGGAGGTCCTAGAGAAAGAGCACAACTCCAAATATTTCTGCAGGTTGGCTAGAGGCTATCTCTATTTACCTATCTCTCAGTGCGATGAATGATCTAGCAAATACTTTGCTGTCATTAGTTACTCACATGTCCCCTGGTGATCTTACTGCCTCTTGTGCCCACAGAAACACAGCTTTCCTTTAGTGTGTAATCAATAACAAGGCTGCCACGCATGCCCTTTGTACCTGCAGTTAGCCAGAACACAAAGTCTTGCTCTCTCTAGCAGTGCCAGACATCACCATTTCCTAGAATAAATTATCTGGGGAAATCAGGTTTCGCTGTACAACAAACCAGGCTTTCAGTCACACTGTTACTGAGACATCGAAAAAAGAATGGGGGGAGAGGGAAATTGGTTGACAGGAAATCACTGAGCAGGTTCAGCAAGCTAAGAAAAAAAAAAAAAGAGTTTTGAAGAAAAATAAATTTTCACTAAAATATTATCTGATATGTTGTTATTAAAAAACCCCAGCAGGATCCATAACAATCTGTGGAGGTTTCTCTGCTTATTCGTTTATAGACAAATATTCCCTTGATCAGACAGGCGCCAATTACAAGGGATGTTAGTTCTTTAGTTGATTTCTCAAGGTAGATATTAACATTGAAGTACAAGGATCCCTCCTGTTTAAAGATACAGAAATGCACAAAACCCATAGTTCTCCTTTTCCCCTGCTACCAAGATACATGCTGACTTTTCATTAAAAATGCCACAGCTGTCTGTCAACCTCTACTGAGATAAAGCAACGAACCTAGTCATAAAGAAATTGAAAATTGCAAAAAAACCCAAACAAACAAAAAAAAACACCAAAAAATTAAACAAATAAAACTTGAATAATGTTTTCCTTTTTCTTCTTGGTATGGGCTGGTTATCCTGTACAGTACTTACTTCTTTTCCCTAGAAGTGTCTATAATAACAAGGGCTAGAAATTAAGTTTCAAATGAAAGTCGAGTATGATGAAAACACATGAGTCCAGAAGCTGGGGATTTATGTAAAACATAAAATACAAAGTCTTTTGACAGAACAGTAAGACTTGTCAAGACTAGATAATTATAAAAAGAACTGTCATTTCCTATTGTTTCAAGGCAAACAAGACTTTGCTAGTTTTAGTGTATATTCCTTTGTTCAGTCATGAAGATCTATTCTACAAAAGCTCCATTCATTTCTGACAGGCTAAATGGAACAACTCTTAGTTTAAAATTTAAAAGAGAAGACTTCATCTAACAGTATGTTATTTAACATAATGAAATCCACAGAAAAAAAGCAAACCCTCTGAGGTTTTATCACACTCCAGTAGTCTTCAGAGATGTTGATTACAAGATTGTGTTCATACAAAACCAACACATTAATTACCCAGAGAGCCTTGAAGTGAGCAGAAAGATTGCAAGCATGGATTATCAAGTCCTTGGTCTTGACAACATTTGGAGCTAGACCTTTTAAGTACTTGGGCACTTACTATGTAGGTATGTGCTACGTGAGGCATTTAGTGGGTATTGAAAGTTCTACTTGGTGATGATATTAATTTTTGAGTGCCTATACTTCACCTGTTTTGGTTTTTGGTGTTTTGTTTTTGTTTTTTTTTGTTTTGTTTTGTTTTGGTTTTTTTACATGCAGTTTAAACTTCAGTATAACATCTATGAGAAATCTTATGATATTGCTACCCAGATTATGATCTCCTTCTTGATGTTATAACCCATAGCAGGCATAAAGACATGTCATAAACAAAGATCCAAAGCCCAAGCATCATGTATAAATATATACGAAACATATATAATGATGTGCCAAACTGATTTAGCCTTTCCCTGCAAGTATTTTTCTATGCAGAATATCTTGAAGAGAGCACCTTAGCAAAACTGTAATTTGTGAAGTACACTGCTCACAGCATTTACAAGGGGCCCATGCCTTAAACAGATTATACACATATATATATGTACATGCTTAAATGTATGGATGACTTGAGTCTATAATTAAAAGTTTAATATTAAGTTTGATCTTTTAATGAAATATGTCACTGATGAAGCAGCAGACTAGATCCCTTTCATTAAGGATCATCTAATTAATTTTATGCATGAAATCCTCTGTAGACACACCTGAAACTGCAATATCCAGTGGTCAAAATGAAACATGTCCAGAGAATAAATAAAATCCTACTTACTTCTGCCCATTTTTAAAAAAGCAGTCAGTAGAACAGGGATTATATGGGAAAAACTCAAGCTAAAATATTTTCCTTTTCAGCCAAAAAGACAATTTGGCTTAGAACTAGCTATCCAGGCTAAGACATTTGCATTAGGCTGTTTGGATTGAGGTCATCATTTCTACCCTGCAAGTGACAATACACTCCTGTTATAGGTCATGCAGGGGAGCAGACTGTAATTATTGCTGTTTATATCAAACAAAGGGCACTTATTCTGGTCTAATATTTTTTGAGAATTGGATGCCACCACCACTGCTGTTGGGGTGTTCTGTTTCAAGTGATGTACTCAATTAACAGTCTCTATGCTTTGCTAATGCCTGTGAGCAATAGAGTCTCTAGTAGAGCTTATAAAAAAAACATTGCTTTCTGGAAAGGTCGTGCAAAAATATCTATTTGTTATACACAGCACAAAACCATTTACAAATCATTGGCTTAGGACTTGTGAAAAACAGTCAGCAATGCAAAGATATCAGCATCGTGGAAACATGGCAATTAGGGGAACAGGGACACCAACACCATTTCTACTACAGGAACGTTTTGATGCAGACAGTCATTCAGAGGAAAGAGGCAATAATGCACTCCCATACTGTAAATCCCTTGGGCAGTGAGCTGTTAATGACTGCTGTGGCACTTCATAAATGAGTAATAACACCCAGGGTCACAGAAGTACAGGATGGGAGGTATAGTACCCTGCCTCTAGCTATTTCCATGCACAGGACCTTCTTTAGAATTTTTGATGCTCATGCATAACTTCACATGTATTAAAGGTGACAGGACTAACCACTATCTACAGCACCAGGTGGAAGCGTAAATAAACTGCTGAAGCAGATGCCAAACCTGAATTACTTTGGTTTAAGCATAATTATTTAGCTGCCAAAAAGGCTTCATGTCATCTTACTTCCCTCACGCAGTAGCCAACACATCTCTAAGGGGTTTTTTTATGCCTCAGATACAATGAAATCGCATTAACAGCCACAGGGCTACGGCTGGAGTCGCCACATTCACTTTACCCTTTTCAACCGCACCTTCCCGTTAAAATCCAAGTATTTCCCGTATCGTCTCCTCAAAACCTGCGCAGGAGCCGAGGAAAGCGCCCCACAAATCTCAGTACTATTTGTGTCAACGTGCTTTGTGCCAATTCCCAGTTTGGGGGAACCACTCTTTCCACCCGCCGGGATTCCCGCCGCCGCGATGGCACCGCCTCGGGCCAGCGTCTCCCCTCGGCCGCCGCCGGAGCTCGCTGACGGGACGCCGGCCGGAGGCCGCCCCGCCCCGGCGGCGGGGGGAAGCGGCGGGGCCCGACCCGGAAGAGGCGGGCTTTCTGCGGCGGTTCGGCGGTGGCTGGCGGCGCAGGGTGAGGGGGCCTGCGGCGGCGGGGGGCGGCTGCCGGGGAGGAGGGTGGCGGGAAGCCGGGACCCGCTGCTCCCCTCAGCGGGCTCCGGCCGGAGCCGCAGCGGGGCCCCCTCCGCCCTGAGGGCACAGGGCCCCGGCCCCACCTGCCGTGGGGGGAAGAGGGCTCCCACGCGAGCCCTCCCGAGGGGAGTGAGCCCTTCGGCGGAGGAAGGTGACGGGTGTCCGCTGTTACCGGCCCCCGCAGGATGAATACTTACATTAAAATCATTAATCGTGAGGAGAGCAGCTCCCAGTGCTCTTTGGAGAAGGCTGTAGTGGAATGCAGTGGGTCCCTGGGGCAGTGTTACCCTGCTCAGAGAGCCCCTGAGGAACAAAGTTTCTTGGAGATAGCATATAGTAAAAACTAACGAGGTTGGCTCGTTGCAGAAAAGGAGGCTTAAGTCACGGATATTTTGCAATAGTAACTCCTACACCTGTTTCAGAAAGACTTGGGCTGTGTCATTAGGTGGACGGAAGAAGGCTGCAGATGGGCTCTGGAATATCACCAGACACTGAACTTTCTGAAGCTGACGAAAGGGGAGTTCAGTCTACAGAAAGAGTACTGTGCTGTATTCCCCATGAACATCCCACTTACCCTAGTCTCAAGCTGCTCATGGGTACAGTGGGGAGAATTGGGCTTGGTCATTGAGTATATATTTTAGCTCTTAGGGTCCAGAAAAAACCTGTCTCCTCCTTCCTCCATTTTGCAAGGTGAATATTGGTCCTGCCTGCAAATCTTCAGGAGACAGCAAAAAAAGCTTAATCTGGAACTCTAGAGGCAAAGGCCTTTAATGCTCTAAACTATCCAGGGCTTGTTAAAACAGTAGGCGTAGAGCCTTTCTCAGCATTTGCTATTAGGGCTAGATTTTCACTCATAGATAGTACTAAATAGCACCAATGTCTGAAGGGCAAATGTATATATAGCTGGGTGAATAAGGAAACTAAGGCCTTAAATACAAATCCCATCAGAGAGGCATATTATGATGTAATCTAACTTCTTCTTAGGTGCTGTCCTTTCCCTGAATAAACTTATTAACACATAAATTACTGTGAACAAATCTTATACCTTAGCAAACTTTTCAAGTTGATTGTAGTAATGTTTTTCATGTTAAAAATGGATTAGGAGTAGATTGGGAGTACATTCTGAAGAAATACTTTTTACTATTACTAACCCTCAGAAATGTCCCATATTTTTCTACCACATCTCATCTAATCTAGGTCTATCAAAATTAATTCAAGGATACTGCTGTGTAATGGCTGACTATATTAGGTATTAATATGAGTTGAATTTCTGTGTGTATGGAGTCCCTTAAGACCACTCCCAGTGTTTAGACAGATCAGCGTCTGCATATCCAGTAGAGATGTCCAAAGACTGTACAAAGAATTGGAATTGCTTTCCGTCAGAGATAAGCTATTCATGAGAGTTATTTACAGTCTTAGATCATCAAGACTTAAGAGTCAGTCATCTATGCTGTCTGCCCATAACTTAACCACTTTACTGCAGTGTTAATCTGAGTGTAACTTTTCATTGTCCTTCATTTGTCCTAAGTGGATTTTGGTAGCTATGACAATGAGACTTCATACTTTGCTGAAGCCACTTTTATTGTGTTCGTGTTTAAAGTTTTCAGAATGACTTCCTTGATTGACATGCCCCTGAATTATGAAAAGATGTTTGCTCATCGATTCACATCAGATGATGAAGAATACCAAGAATATCTGAAACGCCCTGCAGATCCCCCTCCTATAGTTGAAGAATGGAGAAACAGATCTGGTGGCAACCAGAGAAACAGAGATCGGTACTGATACCTTCTTTTTTTTTTTTTTTTTTTTTTTTCAATCTTGGTAGTTTCACAAATATATAGTTAAATAATCATTTATTTCAGAAGAAAGATAGGAATTTGTTCTGTTAACAGAAGTATCTTTTTGTTACTTCATAGGTAACTATGTTTAAGAGAAATAGTCTTCTCTGAGAAGTAATGAGGTTTTACATTTTCTCTGTACTGATAGTCAAAGCTTTTGCATTGTTTATAAAAGTTTTAAGTAATTTGCTTTTTAGTAAGGAGTGAGCTGGAACCACCGAACGCATTGCCCTGGTGTTTGGTACTATTCAGCCATGAACATTCTTCTAGAGGGAAGAGATGAGAGTTATGCAAAACTATGCAGCCCATCTTCTGTTGGATAATAACTGGCAAGAAAATGTGAAAAGGAACAGGCTGATAGTGTGATTATCAGTTGCTAGCTGTCCAGAAAAATGTTGAATTTGTAACCTAAATATTTGGTGTACTTTGTTAGATTAGCGTGTATTTCTTTTACCTAGTAGAAATAGCTGTAAAATCCGTCATCCAATCTGTCTGGCAAGTGCAACATTACCTGCCTACTGCCAAATACTTTGAATCATTTCTTCAGGATGGTAACTGCAGCTTTTTACTGAATTCTAGACAGTAACATCTGATTTTTGTGTGACTGAAAAACAACAACTACAGCATGTAGTACATTTGGTAATACTAACATCAGCTTTTAATATAAAGTAGTTAAACTCCAGTCCAACTAAAAATTGGGAAGACTTCTTAGCTAAATACCTGAATAGGATTTGTACCTTATCTGAAAAAAAGGACAACATTCTAACTTTTTCTCACCCTATAAGCTTGTCATTAAGTTAAACACAGAATCAGTTTCTACAGATTAAAAAAAAAAAAAAAGTGATTGTTTAAGGAGACATTCTTACAGAACTTTGTGGTTCTTTTAACTCATGATCTCTTACATCTACGCTCTGGTCACAAAGTGAGCCTTATGTAAATGTTGTTTGTCTATACCACTTCACTGAGATATCCAAAGAAGATGACTGTGAGGCAGCTCAAGTGTTGATAGGAATCGAGATACAGCTGAAAAGCCAAAGTTTAGACTGAACAAGGGCTAAATACCACTGATGAGATACACTCTTTTGAGTCTGGGAATCTATGAGAGACCACAAAGCAGTGGTAGTATGTATTTTAGGGAATATGCACATTCCAGGATTCTATGCTGTTAAGTAGGTAAATTGTACTTAAGCCTGCTTTGCCACAGCTTTCAGCCGTGATTGAACCTGGCTTTGATACAGCTATGGCTGTATCTTCTGGTTGTTTTTTAGATATATGGTCTGTTGGAGTCTCTGTTCAAAGTTCCAGCAGTTCACCTAATGCCTGTGAATATTCTGTGTTAGGAAGCAGACTGTTCTTCCATTGCTTAGCAAAAAGCATGTTGGGTAGTAGTGAGAAATTAATGAATGATCTCAGATGACTCTATATATGTTTTCATCAGTTTGTCATAAAAACAGGTGAGTAATTGAGTGTATAGTTACATGACAGTTTTAATGAAAACTGTAAATTTTAAGTTTATCATCATTCATGTTTTTAAAAAGTCACAATTTGTGTGAATCTTATATTTCTTTTCATTGCAGATTTCAAGATGGTAGATATTTTAGAGGGGACAGATACAACTGGCAAGGTGACTATAGATCTAATCAGAGGCCAGAAAGAAGTTGGGGTAATAACTACCAGCAGCACAGACAAGGACAATCTTACTCCTCCAGCTACGGACAATATGGCTACAACTCCTACAACCCAGGGCCTCGTTACCACCCCTACTGATGACAGTTGTGGTTTGACAGTCCAGTAATGCTATGTAACAAATTCAGTTAGACTTCAGTTTTCTTATTTTTCCAGTTTTATAGATAAGTGAAGAATTGGTATTACAGTCCATTGCTGTTTATCTGTAATATGAATTGAAAAAGGGAATACCTTTTATGAATAGTAAAAGCGTATTATACAGAGTTTGTTTACAGTCTGTAGATCTTAGATTAAATTTTTATCTATTTTTTTTTGTCTGAATACATGCTAGTACACTTTTCTTCCATCACTGAGATTTCTGTTACCTTTTAGAAAAGACAACAGGTCAGGGGAAAATACCTGTGGTTTGTGTGCAGCCTGTAGCAGTGGCACATTGCTTTAAGTTTGTTCTTTTTGAAAGTGACATGCTATGTTTTTCTCTGGAGAGAATTGCTTAGTTTGGCTTTTGATAGAAAAGATCAGTTTGGTTTGAATTTCAGATGCCTTAAAACTGAGAAGAGAGATGCTATTACAGAAATATTTTATGGGGTCGGCCTAGTGTCTGTTGACTCAATGGCTTCAATGTATTTGCAGTATTCCTCTTAAAACATGGTCTAAAAGTTGGAACAAAGATTAAATAGTTTAAATATATATCTTCGTACTATAGTAGTTCAATGATATACAAGTTTTACCTGAGAAGTGATATCAGACTTAGAATAATTTGTATCATCTTAAAATATGTTTGGTATGTGCATAACATGTTTTGGAATTCCTATTTCAGTAAAGCTGTAAAATCTTGATGGTAATGGTAATTAGTTTGTATGAAATACTTTGTGCATGTTATAGAAGAAAGGAACCATAATCACTACTGTTCTGTACTCTTCTTGCATGAGAAAATAGCATAAGCAGTGCAGAGTGTTATCTAGTTCTTAGAATTTACGTTCTGTGGGTTTTTTTAAGTATTCACACAATAAAAGTATAGTTCCCATGCAAGGATGTTTCTGAGTATTTCTGAAGCCTACTTTTGAAACATTCAGAATTGCAACTCTCTCATCTAGGCTGACAGCTGCCCAAGCAGCAGGGCTAACAGGTAAGTGTTAATACTGGACAGCTGTTGGTTTCAGTTAGAAGAATGGCTTACTCAGCTACAAGTGGACGAGACACATTGTGAATAAGTAGGAGTCTGGAGTGTTAATCCACTATCTTACATTCTACTATAATAGGGTCAAAGTTCTCTATTTCACCATTTATGTGATAAGGTAATTTGTATCATGAGCACAGTGCATTTCTTTGTCCTTGACATTTTCTTCAGCTGTTGTACAGAAACACAGAACCATCCATGCTGGCTGTTGTAAAAGTCATGACATTATGGGATAAAGACAGCAAATCAGTGCATCTTGATTTAAAAACAAAGAATAAATATAGAAGTCAAAAGCACAGTCTCCTCGCTCATAAGATGCTTTTAAGAGCTAAAGGGTGTGTTTACCGTTGACGTTAGAAGCACACCCTGTATGTAGCTTTTACATAGTCTGTGATAAAAAAGCCATGACACAAATGTCTCCACCTACCTGCCAAGCATTTCATATAATATTGTTAACTCTCATACAGTTTTTAATACCCTACTCCCTGAAGTACCTGTCTTGAATTCAGTTGTTTGACCTCGGAAATCTTTTAGCGAGAGGTTTGTTTTTCCTTGAGGAGTTCTACTGGGTGAAATGCACCCTTTTCAACCCTCAGTAACATGGTGGAGCTGTTACACTGGGGGATATAAGACCATGCAAAGTTCTTACCTGTGCACTATGGAAAGACTGCAAGTCAGTATGGTGGAATTCCCTTTTAATGCACAGTCACATGCAAAGTGCCAGATATCCCAGCCTCCCACCTCCAAGAAGCGAGTGCCTGTCTCTCTGCAAAGAGCCTGACACTGCCGGCTACGCCACGGAAGTCAGGCTGTGCCAGGATGTTCTTCCTTACCATCTGGAGTAGCATCTCAGGTTGAAATAAAACCTGGCAAAAGGAACAGATTCTGTCTCATCTGTCGCTTTTCCACAAGCCCCATAACTATTTTATTTTTAGTGTCTTTCAGCTAGCGAATAAAGAATGTACAACATTGTGACCAAACTGTAGAAGCAGCTGGATTGGATGGCCTAAGTGGAAGTTATGACTTAGGATCACACATTTCATGATCTCAGCTCATTTACTCGAGTTTCTCGACTTGGAGACCAGGAGACACACAGGCAACTTCCCAGGTTCTGTCTTTACATTCTTGACTCCATCTGCCTCACCATTAGTCTCAATTCAGCTTTAAGGACCTGTATGATATACAAAAGTTTTCCTTGGAACAATTATGGCAAGAATATAATTATTTTGGGGGGAATACATTTCTAAATAAATGCATGTCTTGCACTGGACAGAAAAAGTAAATAGAATTTAAAATATATTACCTCCAGCAGTTTCCACTCAGATGAATTAATATTTATGATAAAGTCCAGTTTACTGTTTCTGTCAAGCTAAATAAAACCAGTAAGTATTGCCTGCAAGTACTGTTTGTGCATTACAGTGTGTTACAGATAACAAAACTGAAGCTCGATAACTTCAACATTTGCAACATCAAACACTACAGAAATTGTTTGCTTTAACTATGCCAGAGATTGCAGGGTAAACATTAAAATTCAGTGTCTGGAATCTGACTTTAAGAGATCTCTTCCATCTGACATTTGCTCAGACATCATTATTATCATGAATAAAACAAAAGAAAGATAAGTGTTGAGTATTAAAAAAATGACTGCCACGTACCAAGAGTTTGAACACCCCAGAAGTTCTGGAAATGGCTCTTGCAGCAGTTCTAAAGCCGTTCCTGAACACATACAACAATTTTGTACGGACTGTTAATTGATACTGAAGAACTGTCATGCTAAATTACAGGTGCTGTGGCAAACAACTATGAAAACACAGTAGTTTTTACACAATTTCTTAACCAGCATTTAAAAAAATGCTAAAGGCTTTCAAATAACAGCTAAGACACTATATACTTGAAGGAAAAAGAAAGTGCATAGTAAAATCTCACAATGATTTGTGAGATGATACAGTTTTACAAGTGTTCACTGCTATTCAACCTCTATTTTATCCTAGCTCTGCAGCTGGGGATAGAAATGTGCAGACGTGCTTTGAAAGGTTAGTTAGAAGCTGAACTACTTTCAAGAGGGTCTCTAGTAGAGATTTCAGACAAGGGAAGACAAGCGTCATTTCCGATATACACGTAATCACCATTCAACTTCTAGAACAAAGCAGATATTTACTGTTTAAATATATTTTAATATTTTGCAGCAGTTATATATTTGAATATATATAAGCTCATACTATTAATTCGCTAATAAATATTCTGCTTAACCAAGAAACATGTTCACACTTGCTTCTTATACTGAGATGTTGGAAGGAAAATTCTTTCTGTATCAAATTTAAGCTAAGGTTTTACCTGCTACCACCTCTATTCCTTAGGAGGAAAAAAATAAAAGATCCTCATATTACACAACTCTTGGTGAATTCTGTTAGCTGATCCAAATTGTGCAGTCACATCCTCTAACTCTGACAAACAAGATGGGGTAGGAACATGGAACAAGAAGGAAGGGAAAACAGGACTGCTCCTTACCGCATGTACTGACCGCCTTAGGGGCAATTTAACAAAACTGCACCTCCCTGACCTCTCACTTGCCAATCATTAAAAATTACTGTAGTCTGTCCTCTTCTCCCTATATGTTAGAAGAGAGGTATATAACCCTGCTTAAATTATGTACAGTACTGATACTCTAATGACCAGAAGCTAAGCAAGATTATAGGGCAGAGCAGGTTTCCCTGAAAGTACCTAGAAAATATGCAGCCTGATTTGAGACACACAGAGGTAAATCCTAGAGATGAAAACAGAGTCCAGCGGCTCCAGCCCTGCCAGGGGAGTAGATGGCAACTGTACTCTGGTGGTGCACAATGATCTTGCCTCTCAGGAGGATTATTTTTCCATGAGGCCCCGCAGGCTAGAATTTATTTTTGTGTTTACCATGGCCTACATTTTCTTCAGCAAAGCACAGACTGCATTAGTGATTGTCTGTCCTCATTTGCTTATGCAAAACAGTGATGCCAAAGTGTTATTTCTACGCAGCTCATCTCTGACTTTCTAAGTACTCTGTCCTGTTAAAATGCAAATTTATTACAAGAGATGGTGAAAGTTGGTAATAACTATGTTTCACTCTAAGTCTAATAAACACACAACAAGATAAATCTTATCATCATCCCCAATGGTTACTTTTTGTGTTATTTGTGACTAAAAGGAATACAAATGAATGTTACCTTTTTCCTAACACAGACATGCTTTCTTTTCAAATAATAATTCAGCAGCTGGATTACTTTCTTCCACAACTATGGGCTTCCTTCTTCTTTCTTTCTTTTTCTTTTTTTTTTTTTTTTTTCCTCCATATTGTGTAATTCAGATTTTGCTTCACTAATAGAAGATGTACCAATGACAAGTATCAAAGTTACTCCTGCTCACTGTTTGAAGAAAAAAACCTTGTCTATTTAAAAGATGAGTTGAAGTTGAGAAAACAATTTAATTGTTATAGAACTAAAAAAATTACCAAGGCCCAACCCTACCTATGAAAAAAAAAAAAAACAAAACTTCAAGGATTCAAGCAGAATCTTCAAAATAAACATGTTACATGTTAAAATAATGATAAAGATACTAAGCTTTTTCAAACCTCTTGTTCAGTGTGAGGAAAGACAATTTGATATTTATATAACCACATAAATTAAATACTTAATTAGTACTGTTGAAATAGAAGTTAAAAAACCCAAGCATACCGTAAGAAGTTTCACATAGCTTATGGCCACCATGTTCCAAGTTTAGCATGATCAGAGCTAATCAGAAAGCACGTGTTCTTTGTTCAAAGCTATGCCTGAGGTTCGTTTCTGAATAAATGATTGAAATGATATATTTTCCATTGAAAATGTGCTCAAGAAAAATAAAGTAGCAATAATAATTGCCAAGTACAACCAGCTCCAAATGATTAAATACTCTCACAAAATAAAATTATTTTTCCTGTAGCAAAGGCCTGGTTTTTAAGTTTTAACCTTCTGTACTCATTAAGTCATCTTGATTTATGAATGTCACCGAGACCTAAAAAAAAATACGTTTAAGAACACTGCTTCAGTGGTTTTAATGGTATAAGCATTTATACACAGCATACGAAACCTCTGGAGTTCAGATCAGTTTGGTGCAAGAGCTCTGTGTGGACACATACTCTTCACTCTGAAGTGAGCTGATGGAGCTTCAAGCTTGGGGTACACATACCCTCTTCTAAAGCACAGCTACAGCTAAACTGCTGTAAGAACATAAAGGAGCTTTACCTTAAATTGACAACATGGGCAAATCCTATTTTCTCCTCCCTGCAGGTCAGAGGATACTTCCATCAGCAGAATTACGTTTTTTGTTCTCCTAAAATAAGACGGGAGTGGGAGGGTGCATTTTATAGCCCAGGCAATGACAAGAAGGAGCACTACTCAGCTAAAGAAACAATTGTTCCGTGGCCATTTCCTCGTGTACCCTGAACCCTGTAGAGGAAAACAGGTTTTGAGATTTGATTATTGGTTATCAAGTCACTTTACCACCACATCACCTTTACCGGGGAGGGTGGGAGGGAAGATAAATTCCTTCCTCCTCCACAAACTCCAGGGACCTCTCCAGCATAAAACAAGCAAGCAGAATGTGATTCTAGGAAACTGTAAGCAATGAAGCAGCTGTCTCATTACACTGGCAAAGTTTGAATCCTTAAGCAAGATGGAGAGATCAAAGAGATGATAACCAAATAGCTATTGATCACATATCCTGCAGTCTGGGCAAATCCAATTGAAGAATCTCTTTAGACCTCACCAGCTGGATTTTAGCTTTTAAGAGACAAAATGGATTTAGTGCTAAGTAAAAGATCAGCCTAGTCTTATTTCCCTCC